ATTTTAACGAAATTACATATTTTAATGATGAATAATTATGAAGTTAATTATTTAGTTATGATTGAAAAAAAAACATTAATAGACGCATAACACTTTTACTTATAAAATTATATTTAACACTCATAAAAATATTTTCAAATGCAATGTTTTTGGGAAAAAAATTAGTCTATAGATGAATGTATATTATATATTTATAAATATGTTTATTGTTGTCGATTAATATATTTTTTGTTTGATATGAATACTCGTCATTGGATCCAATGTATTCTATATTATGTTCTTAAAATAATTAGCAATTTTAATCTTTAACAAATTTTTTCAACATTATAATTTATAAATTCAAATCATCGTAAAAATTAATGTGGTTTTAAGCTAACTCTTTTAAATTCTTAAAATTTAAACTTATGACAAAACTTGAATTACATTTTTAAACTTGTTGAAAAATTTAAAATTTCGTTAAAAAATAATTTGTGAATTTCACGTTGTTAACGGGTTTCATCGATATTTGATGAAATTCAAATGGTAATAAAAAAAAAAAAATCGCAACTATGTATTTTTGATGCTTTCAAATAATTTCAGTAAGAAAACATTTTGAGGAACTATAGATTTAATTTTCGATATCTTTTACTCATAAACAAACGTTTTATCATAATTTAACCATTATTATGTTACATCCAAATATTTATATTATACACGATGGGTACATATTGATACACACTGTACAATTGACCACTTCGTGTGTTGTCATGTTTACACAAAATAATAAACAAATGTTAAACATTCGTATTCGCACTACGATTTATTCATTAAAGTATTACATGTTATTCAGTTTTTTCAAGTTCCTATAAAATAATTGTTTTCGCGTTATAAATTCGAATACGATTATATTACATGAGCAACACTGCAATTGCACTCGTTCAGAAAGATCATAAGGATAAAAACTTATCGTACAAGTTCAACAGCTCAGAATCATCAGTTCATTTGATTACGATGTTGCTAAATGTCAATGACGATCATAAAGTAAATAATGAGATTAACTAGAAGTAAGTTAGTTAGGTATAGGTGGTGGCAACACAAAAAAGTATGCGTGTTGTTGCAACGGAAAGTTAACTTTACTTCTCCATCGTTAAAGCTATACATAATAATATCATTACAATGCTTTGCGATCAATCTACAAACACCTGAATATAATATTTAGTGACAAATCCGCCACTATATAGAATTTTATGAACAATATTAATCAACAATTTATTTTCGTATTGTATCTAATTTCAATTTTTTTCAAGAGCAATGAACTGACTTCATACAGTTCCGATTCCGATGCGATTTCAATCCCGTCAGAATTGCCCGAATATCCGGTTTCAATGTCTTCCGTATGCAACTGGAATGGCTCGACGTCGAAGATGCGGTTTTTTGTCATCGGTTTGATGTCCATGTCGATTTTGATTCAAGTATAAAAACATTGAAAACACTTAATGTCGCGCGAGTTCCACAACACGTAGTGATACCGAAATATCAAATATTATAAAATAACGTAAACGTTCAACTGTTTATAGTCATATAGGGATACACAGCATAATTATACGTAGTGAGACCATTTCAACAAATTCTTACGATCCAATATAAAACTATTTACCACCGTCCACAAAACACGTTCCAAAGCGGGGCGCGTAATATATATTTTCAATATATATATGTATATTCTACATGCTGCCCCCAAGTTTGACATAATATATTATAATTAAATCTAAATACGATAGGTACGTTTTTAATAGATTAATAGAGACACGTTGGCTGCTTTTTCGAAGTGCACAATTATTACGCTTAATACACGTAATTACACGTAATTATTATGCGATTTTTATAATATTATATTTCAGTATACTACGCTCGAATATACGTACATATTCGAAAAGAAAAGAAATACATCACAAGTTCAAAATATATCTTAACAGATAATAATTTAATAGATACTCTGCAAACCATAAATTACGATTTATTCATCTCCGTTTTAGGTATTTTCTCAGTCTATATGGAGCGCCATACACGAATCGGCGTTGTTGGCTTTTCCAAATTGGACAAGAAAATCTCTTTCGCTATTGCCCATATGGGGCAGTATATTAACGGCGATATTAATATTTCCAGCATGTGTGACTATTAATAAATACGGTACGGAAACGTGAAATAACGTAAAAAAAATAATATAATAATATTATTAAGCAATACTGTCCGTCAGGATGTTAGTTATTATTATTATCATAACTAGGGACCGAATTTATATGCACGAAAAATCCTCAAAATATGTTTCTAAAAATACAGTAATATATGCTACAAAATATGCACTAAAAATTGAATCAAAAATATTTTATTTAAAATTATGTAAAAAATAAATATTAATTAATTAAGTCTTAAAAATGTATAAAAAGGTTTTGAAAATATACAAAAGTATTTCGTCCTCTTCGTAATTTAACATTCTTTATTTTCAATCTATAAAATATTAGTCCACATTAATAAAAAATTAAAACAAAACTTGATCTATATCAATATATTATACGTATAAATGTTGCCTATAAGTACCTATGTCAACTTTGATAATAACGACCGGTCGTAATTTTATGATATTATGTGGCCACGAATGTTAAAATACGACGAAAAACAAATATATATGTTCTAAATAATAATATGCACTATAAAACTAGTGATATACATTAAATATGCATTTAATAGATAAAACCGTTGAAATATGCAAAATATGCAAAATAAAATTAGTGTTATTGTAATAAAAATGATCTTAATCGGGGAAAATTCTAATTAGATTTCAAAAACTTTATTCCAATACATATACTCATTTGCATATAAATCCGGTCTCTAAGTTCATAATGAATAAATATAATAACAACGCAGGTAATCGTTAAATGTTCTATATTTTATCACCGCAGGATTAAGATTGAGCTTGTTGTGTTCATGCTGTTTTTACACGTTGGGTACGGCCATAAGATGCATGCCAACCATGTACTCGTGTACGATGTAAGTGCTTATCCTAAATCATTTAATATACTTACTAAAATGAGTAGTCTTGTAGGTTCGAAAAAATGTATAGTGATCGTGAAATCTTACGTAGATATATGGGCTATACGGCTATGTTGGGATTGCTCTGGTGCTATAAATTATATAATATTGTACACGTACCGTATGATACGAGTATGCTAGTTTGGGCTAGTCGACTAATTTTTTTACTCATTAAGGAGTTAATATGTATGATATAAGAGTTAAAGTTAACAGTTAATTAAAATAAAATAGTGACTTATGTGACTTATAGTGACTTGGTTAAAAAAAAAAAGGTTACATTTTATTTTTACGCTGAATATAAAAAAATCCATGTCGTATCGCAGTGAGTAATGAATTCCATAAAATTATATATATTTATATATACAAAAAAATAACAGAAATGTTATTTAGCAAAATAATATATAGTGTAAGTGATTTGCAGAGAGGGAGTTTATCCAATATACAATCATACGTAGGGGCGTATATAGAATGTTTTCGAGGAGGGGAATATGAAATAACTTTTGGGTGCTTGTATAAATTATATAATTAATGATAGTCTCCCAAAAATTGTGCATGATGTCTTTAATGCTGGAGTCTGGTATCCCAGCCAAAAATGATCTTTCATTATTAAATAAAATTGGGTATAACTATTGCAATCGTTTAACTTCAGTTACTCTTGTTAAGGAATTTCATAATAATGATAAATGAACATAATAAATTAAACTCTTATTACACGTCTTATTTATTAATTATCAAACAAATTCTTATTTTTATTTTTTTATATTGTTGTTATTATTGTGTAATGTCATTGATTAAATATAAACATTTAAATATAATGTATATTTAATCAATGGTAATTATTTCACTCACAGCTCACGGAATAGCCAAGTTATAAGTAACAACTATATACTGTTATACCGGGTCTTAAAAAAAAGGGCAAGGTAAGGGATCTATTTCTCATCTCCCCTCCCAATAAATACGCCACTGAATTCTCACGTCTATGATAAACACGTATATTTAGACGTGATAGTTATAAAACTAAAAGAGTACTCGTACGAGCCTTTACGCGTACTAAATCGGTGCAACCGACAACGCAGCACAATATAATAATGCGTAATATCTTGTGACATGTATATAGTAGCACGTCGTTTCGTATGGCTAAAACGATTACGACGATCCATTAAACTTCTAATGTATTGCATTGCGTTATCACAGGTGTTTGCACTTGTCGGCGATATGCCTCTCCACGGGCGGCGTGGTGATGACGCCTCTGATAATAACCATGTCAGCGTTGTGGTTCCCTAAAAACGAGAGGAACATGGCTACAGGTCAGTAGTGTACACCGGTCCGGGCGATCGTGTCGATGTTTTCGACGCATAAATTATAAAAAATATGTTATACTTACACAGACTTCAAAATTTTACCGCGCTGTTGACTCTCCCGCTCTTGTTCGCAGGTGTATGTTTCGCTGTCAGAATGCTAGGGTCGGCGGCCACTTATATAATCGGCCCCTACGTAGTGACGGTGGCCATGGATGGACCGTTGAAAGTCTTCTTGACGAGGATACGCATAATGGAAATGTTGTATGCTTGTAAGGACGCTCGCGCTCGCTTTCGCATTTTTTTCTCGCTTTACGCCGTAAACCGTACGTTGTTATAATATATAAACGCGTGTTTTCAGGTCTGATCATGAACGGTTTGATGACGGTTTTGGTGTACTTCTTCTTCCCGAAAACTCACTGTCACAATTATTCGGTGTCGTGCCACGAATCCAGACTGACGGCGGAGTCGCACCAGGACGCCAAGCTCTTCCCCTCGATCAAAACGCTCGCCACGTACGCTCGTCGTCTCCCGGTTTTATATAACCGCGGCAAATCGTAATTTTGTATTATATTCTCCGTTTTCCAGGAATCTCGACGCTTTGTACCTCGTCTTGGCATTCACCCTATCGAACACGATAACGGTTCCGTGGGCTTCGCTGATGCCGTCGAATTTTTACAAGCTCGGAGCACCAACAGTAATCCGCCGTCGGCGGCGATGAATATTAATAAATTTTCGTTTTTATATTTTTAAACTCACGGATTATGACGCACTGATTTTTTTTTCCCCCAAGGAATTCACCACCCAGTGCAGTTTTTTCATGATCATACACGCCTTCATATTGAGCTTGGCGTTCAGCAAGTTTGCGGACCGCGCCCCAAACTACAAAAAAATATTCATGCTGGGGTGCCATTGCATATCCACTTTCTCCATATTTTGGCTGATGATGATGTTTGGCTTCAAAACCAAACTCACATTAAGTACGTGCTCTCGGGGACGTACGAGTTTCCGCGTTAACGATCGTGATTATTAATCGTTTATTAACTGTTTTTACGCTCGTTTTCAGCTGTTTTGGAATGCGTGGTGTTGATAGCGTTTCCGTATACCTGGGGTTGTCAACCACTCTTTTACGAGATGGGCGCCGAACTGACGTATCCGTTGCCCGAGTCCTTTATCGCCGGATACATGACAGTCGCGAACAACGTGTTCATAGACTTTGTTTATGTAGCATTATATTTTTTTCCTCATTTCGGTAATGCTTAATGATTTTTTCAAACGGTACACTGGATAAATATACCTACTAAATATACGATTTCGACCAATCGCGTTTGCGCAGCGTTAAAAACTTATGATGTACGTGCAAAATAATTTGACGCTGGTCACTGAAACTTCATCAAGACTAAAATATTTCAAACTTGTTTTTCCAGTGTTCCTATTATTTTCGAGAAACGCATATAGTTGTAAATTGTAATTTCTGAGTGTTTATTTTCCAGACGAATACTGGCTGCACATTGGTTTGTTTGTTTGTTCAATTTTGAGCCTTTTTTTTTTATGTCTCGTGTCGGTCAACACTACAAAACCAAGGAATCGTTATTCGGAAATCGTCTGAATGTTAATTGTTTAGTTGCCTGTTTATTATTAATTTAAGTCCGCGTCCGATCAGTTGAAATTCGCCTCTTATACTCAACGAAATATCTACGTAAAATTGAAAATAAGTTAAGCCATTCAATGATCATCAGCTGGGACTAAGTCACCAACCATTAATGAAAAAAAGTAAACAAATGTCATCATTTCTCGGGCAGTCATTTTTAAGCGGAAGTTTTTAATATTATTTTATTTAATAGGTGGTGAGATGTTTCCAATTTCAATACAACCATAATTAAAGTTAAATTTTCTTAAATTTAAAGTTTCTTATGAGAAAATGTGTACACTTTCTGTGTAGTATTTAATAATATGGCACATTTTGTAATGGCAGATCCCTTCAAAAATATCATGCATCAAATCAACACTAAATTTTTTTGTTGCGTGAAATAAAATTAATTGGTTGAAAATTGGCTTTTTATAAATACTAGTTAATTTAAAATCATTTCTATTTATATCGTATAAATAGTTTTCAGAGTTACGAATGTAATGATTTAAAAAGGAAATGGAAATAAAGAAGGTAATATATATCAGAGGTTATTGATTATACACCTTTAGATCAATTATAAATCATTACATTACCTTTCTTCTCTTGGCAATGACTTCTTTGTTAATGCTGTTGTGAATAAGGTGACCAGTGCACGTTGAATAATTATAAGACTTTTTTCACTTAAATACACTTATTATTTTTATTATAATTTTTCTTTAACACATGAACTATTTAATACATTTGACTTTAACATAAATTTATTTTAACACTTACGTCTTTTCGTGTATGTGATCTGCGTAGTCTTTTACACTCGCTTATGATCATTTACACAAAAAGACGGGAAGAGCACTGCCTGGACCGGCGGTGAACGGCCCTCTTATATCGGGTGTCCTGTGTGTGTTTTTTCCGACTATAGGTCATTTTATTGTTTTACATGATTATATTAATAGATGACTTATAGCTAAAGGTTATACAGTAATTAAATATTTGATTTATGTCATATTGATAAATTACTTATAGCTAAAGGTTATAATAATTTATTTTATTATATAAATATTTAATTATGATTGCTTGGAAGCATATCATTACACGAAGTAATAATACATTTTCTTCTGATGATTTTTGAGTAACACTTTAATTTTCTTTGCAAAATCTGCAAAAGTAATTTGCTGAAAATGACTTGCTAAATTCTAAAATACTATTCAAGCCTAAGTTGTCGACAACAAGTAAACCTAATACAAAATGAACATTTTTTAAACCTTCTTTAGTTGAAATAAGTATACCATCAACTTCAAGTTTATTTAACTCATGAATTAATTTTTGTAAGCATAAGTCATTACCAAATTATTTCATATCAACTGACTTCAGTAAGGCTGCAATAAATATATGGTACATAATTTAGATCGATTGCTTAACGGGAAACTATAATATATAGCACAAATGGAATGGCAAGAAGAGTGAGAACTTAATGGGTTATTTACTTCAAAGTCGTTCACATATAAAAAATATGGTATAACAATATCATTATTATAAGGATCAATCTTATCTTTTCATAAAATGCCCTGGACAAAATGTGCTAAAACCTTGTCATCTGAGGTGTTGGTTAAATGTTCATATTCTGTTAATGTTTTAAGTAAATTATCATTATGCTCAAAAAATGATTTAAATTGGAATTGTATTGGCATTAATATTCCTTTTGTAATATGTTCACAATAGTTAGTTTCACCAAGAGAAGAAACTAAATTGATTTCTTTGTTAATAGTAAACTGCTGAATATCAGATAGTACCTATAGATTGTTATTTTTTGACCATTTATCTAAAATATATTTCGAATAGCATAGTTTGAATGGTATAGAAATAGCTGAAATAATGGTATGAAAAGAAAACAGTATTAATGGGTCTTTAACTGCATAATTTACAACATTTTTCAACAAATCAGCAATAGGTTTAAATAAACTTTGAGAAAATTCTTTCTGTATATTCACAACATCTTTTCTTGTGAAGTTATTGTTATTGTGTACAGACATTGTTAAGTTAATACCGGCTTGATATATTAAATTAATAGCATTCTCAATAATAATCACTAAGGTCCGGAACATGATGCATTTGCATCTTTTTTTCTAATGCTCACATTTATTTTAATGCATGTCTATACAGAAATTTGATTCATGAAGTATAGAATTTAATGGTACAATTTTTATTTTACATTTTTTTGCATTTTTAGGGAATTTTATGCTTTACGGTCATTTTTTAGTATTTTTGATACATTTTATTCATTTTTGTACTTTTTTTTTTTACAAATATTTACATTTTTCTTGTTGAAAGTTACATTTTATTGTAAAACATGCAGTTTCCATTACTTTGTATTAAATAAACTGTAGGCAGATATTATTTTAGGCCCGGGACACCCATGTGCTTAAAATCGGTTATTGCAGTTAATGATACAGAATAATAGCAATAGTAGTATTTTTTATATATATATATATATTTAATATATAGTTTTATTTAGTTAAATAAAAATAATTTTAATAATATAATATAATAATTTTAATATTTTAATTTTTGTATCAAAACAATACCTATTTATCAATTTTTACAGTAAAATATACATTTTTAATATCATTTTTTCGTCTCATTTTTTAATATTTTTATGTCATTTTATGCATTTTTTTTTCGTGCATTTTTCATATATTTTTAGATCATCAAGTTCCGGGCCCTATTAATCACTGTACTAGTAGGTAATGTATTTTCACACAACAATGTACAATTATTATCTATTTCTACGGGGGTGTTATTAGTACTAATTTCATCAGATATTTGAGATATTACCGTATTGTTAACTTCTACATCACATTTTTTAATGTCATTAAGTTTTAATTTTTTGGGAACAGTGTCTTCTAGATTAACTATGGTATGTTTTCGTGTAATGTGCTTTTTAAAACTATTTAAATTAGGAAATATTTGAATATATTGATTTTCAGTACATTCATATTATGTACTTGACGGCTTCAATAAATGTATTACTTTGTAATGCCCTACTAGTGTTGATAATAACGGAAAATCATTTTTACATATAAAACAAATCATTTTAAATTATGATAGATATGCACAGAGTTTATCTTATATTCAAAGTAAATTAACTAATTTATAATTCGAGAGTTCAATGAAAAATAAAAAACTTATAAAAAAATATATATTATACGACTATACTAAATGTATCAGTCGATGTTTTCAAGGGGGGCAGACATCACTCATACGAGTATTAGTGTCCTCTTGGCTCTATAGTAATAATATAGTATAATATAGCATTGTTATACATACCTTAAATATTGTCGTTAGTGATCAACGTTCGTAACTTCGTTAAGTCAACGTTTTCTCGTATATTTGTATAATAAAACTAATTAATAGTCACTAATTAACGATTTAATAAAATGATAATTACAAAATAGTCACATCGGTCACGGAGACACGGAGTGCATGTGAAAAATGACAAAGAAATACGAAAACGTAAATTGTATTGAGCCATTGGGATCGGTTGACGCGAACCGAGACCGACCGACCATCGGTGATCAACGGTTTATGGAAAAAATCCATATTCCACAATATTAGAAACCTTATAAATAGTCATATAATAAATATAATATAACCGCAAACATGAATTAGAAATTACAAAACACCGATGCCACTGATTACTCTCGTTAAAAGTTTGTTTTCTACCGGAATGTCCTGTAGAATGACAGTTAAACGTAACGACAAACTATTTGAAAAACTTGTTCTTCTAAAACAAAATCAAATGGCACTATAGATATTATATAATATTGATTAACTAAAAATGTATTAAAAAAACATAATATTACTTATCTATATTATTATTTATTATCAGGTCGTCTTAACCAATAATAATTAAAGGAAATTAATTGATCTTTCATTTTCGTTCAATATCATACAATGAAATGTCGTTCTGACAACGAACGGACGTAGACTTCGACTTAAAATAATAATATGATAAACATAATAATCAAAATGATTTTCAATGTTTATTACCTGATATGAATGCAGTTGAATTTTCTTTATAGTCAAAATTCAGAACTTCAAATATTTTATTTCAATAACAAAAACGCATAAAGCGTATAGTGTTGCACAAGAAGACTTTCCGAAATTGAACAACACAAGTAGTATTATACCAAAGTAATTGCTTAAACTTCATACAACTTATCTTTTATTCCACCCTGAACTATAAATGGACTCATCCAAATATACATTATTTTTATATATAAAATAATACTTATAATTAACAATAGATTATTTAATTTTTAAGTAACCATGAGTGAAACTTGTTGTTATCGTCCTTTAAAGTTATGGAAACTTTTGGTGTATTATACTTAATACACTACATAAACAGTCAAAGTCTGATCAGCTAATCGTGTGTGTTAATTTCTAATATATCTTTATAGTTTTGTTTCAATTTTTATGATTTTTTTATTTTATTTTATTGGTTAAAAACCTAAATAGTCACTAGAGATTTTACAGAATAGTTTTTTATAGCTTAAAGCATCGTAAACATTTTTTAACTCTAACAATAATATTCATATGAAAAAATGAAGACTTAATGTCAGTGCTTGTAAAGATTATACAACTTATTTTATTACACATTCATTAAACATACCTACCACACAATGTACTGAGTATAAAGATAAATCATATAATATTTCTCATCATACATTAAATTGTAACATCAGGTTTTTACGAATTAACATTGTAATGAAAAATAGATTATTATGTGAAATTATTGGATGTGCTTTTTGATTATTTGATTAAATTAAATAATTAATAATGTAACAAAACCATTATTATTATAACCTATTTTCGTCTTCACGATATTATTTTTAGATTAAAAAAACAATTTAACTGCTGATCTTCAGTATATATGTTATGTACATTGCAATTATTTATATTTAAAACACAGTGAATACAATTTTGACAAATTTCACAAACCGCATAGACTAATTTTACAATATTGTATTTTGGCGTTAATAAATAATGATAATACACT